GTTCAAATGTGATTGCGGCTTCGAATGCGAAGACCGTGTTCATGTAGTCGCGGAATGTCCGTTGTACAAGAAGGAGAGGGAAGTGTACGTGACTGATCTGGGAAGAATAGATGGGACGTACAGTGAGATTTTTGAGGCATGGAATAGAGAGGAAAGGACGGTAGCTGTACTGGGGCATAGGAGGTGGGTTGAAAAGGCGGGAAGGGATATCGTTAGGATAGACAGACTAGGGAAGACATTTTTGAGCCACCTTTGGCAAAGTAGAAAGGAACGATTGGCCATCGGTGATCGGTCCTGTGGGAACAGTGCTCCGTCCTCTCGAGGATGCGTGGTCAATGGTCTAACCGCTAAGGCATGCAAAACATAAGAGTACGCCCCCCCCCCCTTGTTCTCGTTGGAGCTACGTGCTCGATGCCGAAGAACGGTTTCATACATCTAGGCCACCTTAACTCCGCCCCACACCAACATTGTCCTGTACTACATACAGTACATAGAGCAACCTTATGTCGAATCCCTACGGCGGTGCCGTATTCAATTCCCTACGCCCCTACAGATCAGCCGACGGAGCTTTCAACGCCGCCCTTCTTCTGGAACGGGGCGACCCCTTGTCGGCGATAGCGTCGGCGGCCGGGTTGCCGATGTTCCAGGAACAGCAGCAGCTACCTCTCCGACCTTCTTCAGGGTTCTTGTCGTCCATGGCTTGGGCAGGATGCCCCGCCACCACAAGTACCCCTCACTGTTCGCCGCCCGCCGGCGGTGGCCTTTTCGGAGCAAACGGTGACGACGACGGGGATCTTGCAGTAGCCTCGGGTTCGACGGGAGTAGTAGGCCAGCGGCCGTTGTGGGGGAATCGGCCACTGGCCTTGCAGATGTTCCAGCGTGCGGCGGAGCTTGGACATCCCGAGGCCATGCGAGAAGTTCACCGCTTGAGGCTGCGAGAGAGAATAGACCATCATATGGCGGATCGAGGGGAAAAACGGCGCGCTTGTTAAACTAACTCTCCCTGTGTTTTTAGCTATGAATCTTTTACATTTTTGCTTCTCTTTTGGGGCAATGCTTCCATGTAGAGCTATCATGATGACCATTTTGTCCACCAAGAAACAAATAATGTGGGAGGTGTTTTGTGTAGTTGCGCTCAAGTGCAGCATCTGCCCGTTCTGCATGGTATCGATTAGGTAGAGTTCTACGTTTTTTCAATGCGAGTCGGTGCACAGCTTTATTATTTAGTTTGATGTCATCTTGGGGTGTAGCAGTTGGCCCAGACTCATTTGGCGTTCAGCACAATGTGTCGACGTCCATTGTTGCCAGTGTCGTCGCTTCATTGAATTTCAATGAACATTTCTGACCTCGTTGAACTTTCCAGTTCTATCTCTCTCTCTCCTCTGTCCGTATGTCTCGTTCTGAAAGGAACGGTTGTTGCACCAACCCCGACCGTGCTTTATATCACAGGTGAGTGAGTGAGTGAGTTTCCTTTTCTTCCCTCTCTTTGAACTTTCCTTCTCGTCCGCATTCTTTACATCATCGGAAAATGGACCTTCTCTCGTTCTTGTGTTGTGCGGCATTGCTTTTCAGATACATTTGGTGGTTGTATTCGACTTCCGAGTTGGAGCTAACGACCACACAATCTTTTTTTTTTCCCGCTCGTGTTTCGTTCGCCCTACTACCCTGTTTTCCTATAAATATTTATTTCCTGGGTTTCCTATCTTGTTCTTATTAATAAGAACAGACTGTTGATTTGCGAGAGTTTGCACATGAAAACGTTGGAGGACGGAGAAGAGCGGAAGGCATCCGCGTCGGTTGGACTTGTACTGATGTTATGCAAACAATTGTACTTCGTAGAGACCGGACGCAATATTGTTGTTGTTGTTGTTTCTCACATTAGCTCTAAAAAAAAAAAAAAAAAGATTGGGAGCCCGTGGTCTCAAAACCCGGCATACACGACCCCACGAAGAAACAGAAAAAAATAGGGTACAAAAACCACTCGGAAGAGAAACAAAATGATAGAAAGAAAGACCAGCTACCGCACCAAACGAGAAAGAGCGTCGAGGAGACCGATCAAAATAAAATAAAAGGAGAACGGGGAACGCTTCCCACACCCGCCTACAACGCCGGAGGGTTCCGTGCCGGGTTCCCGCCGACCAGGCATCCCCCGCCCTGCACCACACCCCAGGGGGTGCAGCAAGACGGGGGGCGAAAAACAAACACATATATATTCCCACAAAAAAATAAAAAATCGAAGGACAACGTACACCAGTACCAGGTACTACAGCAGTGCAGTATGCACCAGCGCATTAGTGTAGGGTAGGCACCGCACCAAAGAGGCAGCAGAGGTGGCAGGCAGCCAGCAAAGGAAAAAACAAAAATAACAAGGAGCTCGAGGTATCGTCCAAGATCATCGTAGAGAGGGCATGGAGAACAAGAAAGAAAGAAAGAAGAAAAGCACAAAGAGAGGCCGGAGGCAATACTAAGAGCATACAGCTTACGGCAGGGAAAAGGGAACACAGGGTGCGACAACATCATCAGTTGGGTACGTCGTTCGCCGCAAGCGCGGCCTTGGCCGCCCTACTCGCTTCTACAGCAGTGTCCGGTCGCCGTTTCTTCCCCCCCCCCGCCGCTTCCCCGATTCTCTTTCTCTTCGGGCCCGGGGCGGCCGTACTCTCCGTCTCTGCTTCCTCCGCGCGCTGGCGCTGGCGCTTCGCGGATGCTTCCGCCTCCTGTCTGTGCCATTTCCTCATGAACCATGCCGCCCCGTCCTCGATCTTGTCGTACCACGCCTCCTGGTCCTTGGCGCTCTCTTTCCATCTCCCCCCCTCCTTCTCCTCTTTCATGCCAAACGCCACGAGGTCCTCTCCTAGGCGATACACCCAGTCGCTCTCCTGCCCGCCCCGGTATCCGGTACCCCCCGCCATCGCTCCCAGCAGCATGCGCTTGGGGAGGCGGTTGTCCTCCATGCGCATAACGAAGCCCGCAAAACACAGCCTCCGTTTGCGCACGGTGGCCTCGATGGTTTCCTCGCAGCCGGCCTGGATGAGGGCCTGGGCGTAGGACAGGGATCGGTCTGAGCGCTTCCGCTTGCTCCAGCCGATACACCGTGTCAGGAACTGGCGGTGGGTCCCATTCAGCTTGGTGTAGTGCTCCGCTGCCAGGCTCCACGAGGCGCACCCGTATAGAAGGGTCTGCACCACTTCAGCCTGGAGTAGTCGGATCTTGAGCTGGCGGTTGGCCCGTTTCCTGTCGTACATCGAAGTGCTGTTCCGGCGGTAGCACTTCCATGCTCGGCAGATGCGGCTCGTGATCTCCCGGTCGACCTTCCCATCCGCGCAGATGGTACGTCCGAGGTACACAAACCGATCTGTCTGCTTGTACGTCTGGCCAGCGGCGCTGACCGCGAACGGGCGTTCCCCCAGCCCTTTCGGTAGCATGCACATGATCTCCGTCTTTGGCTCCGATACCATCAGTCCGAACAGGCCGGCCACGCGCACGATGATGGACATCATCTTTTCGAGGCTCTCCGGCGTGAGCGAGACGATGGCCGCGTCGTCAGCGTAGAGCATGTCCCACAGGGCCTCTGCGACCGTCACCATCATCGCCTTCTTCCCCGCCGACCTGCCCCTCTTGCCCGTGCACTCCACTCGTGTTGCGATCTTGATCATATCCGCCGTCACCTTGGGGTCCTTGTCGAACTCGGTCACTGCGACCATGCGCATCGCGGCAGAGAACAAGTTGAACAGCAGCGGGGCCAGGTTGCACCCCTGTCGGAGACCTTGGCCGACGTCAAACCATTCCGAGTACTGCCCGTCGTCCGTTCGAACCCGCGCCCTCATGCCCTCGTGGAAGTGGCGAATGACCGCCAGCATCTTCGGGGGCACGCCAAAGCGTCCGAGCACGTCCCACAGCAGATCTCGGTCCACCGAATCGTACGCCTTGGTGAGATCGACGAAGCACGCGAAGACCGCAGTACTCTTCTTCCTCGCGAGCTCATGGAGCCGCTGGATGGCGAACAGCATGTCGAGCGTCGACCGGTGTGGGCGGAAACCGCTCTGCTCCTCCGGGAGGATGCCCTCTCGCTCGCAGTAGTGGCTTGTGATTCTTGTGCGCTTATGTGATAATCTCGATCGCAACAACTTTGGAACAAAAAATCAGAGAATAAAATCATGACCCTACTGAGACTCGAACTCAGGGTGGCAGATTCAGAGTCTGCAGTGTTGCCGACTACACCATAGGGTCACTTCACGGTATAGCAGTTGCAAATATTCACCTAAATATTATGAAAAGTAGAAAATCTCCATGTTCTTCGTTTTCTCGAGGGTGGTGCCGCTGTGCAGTAGTACTCCCCTTGTTCTTGCTGGCCGGATGATGCACGTCTTTGCCTTGAGTGTCATGTGTGTTGCCTTTGTTGTAACACCGCTGCGTGTAAATTTTTACGATGCGTGATCTACTGCTGATGTGCGGGGGACCTATCAAGCAGCACAGGGGGTAGGGAGGCAAGTTCGATACACGGGCCGCCTCCGAAGGCAGCAACACATCCACCACAATGACCAACAAGCAGTGCTCCCTTGCCTCGAGAGACACGAATGAGGATCGTAGCGGGTACGTACGAGGGCTTCTGCTATGGGTGGGAGTCCAACAACACAGAGTCCACAGCAGTGGGCGCAGAAGCACTCAGCGGTACCACCACGACTGACACTCGGGGGGTCAAAAATAGCTCACCGCCTCCCTCCGCCACAGCAGCAGCTTCATCACAACCACCGACACCACCGCAGGCACTGTCGTTGGTGTTCGGGTACAACGTCCACGTGGGTTGCATGAAGTCCGTGGCGATCGCTACCTCCGGCTCTCGCGCGGGGCAGCTTCTTGTTACGGGGGGAGCGGACGAGCGAGTCCGGATCTACGACTTGAGGGACAGGACCGAGCTCGGGGAGCTCCAGCAGCACAATGGTGCGTGCATCATGACACAGCAGCAGCAGCAGCAGCAGCAGCAGCAGCAGCGCAGAAGAGATACAACAGCAGCTTGTTGCGTAAAGAGGCACGCAGTCCCGCTTGGTGCAGCAAGTAGCGCAGTCATGCTCAGCGCCACGATGATTGTGGTGGCCACGATGATTGTTGTGGTGAGGCTAGCCGACTTGAACAACCAACGAAAATGCGGCGCAACAACAACACCCGATGATCCCAGCCGTGTCGGGGTCGGAACGCAAGAAGCAACAAGGCACCTTTCTTCCATTTGTTGGCCCTTTCCCCTGTGTATGGCTGTGCGTCGTTCCCCGTACTCCTTGGCGTTTGCCGCAAGAAAGGAAGATGGCGAAACTCATGCCACGCAAAAGAGTTGGTGGCGCTATCTTTGTGGGTACATAGCCAGTGTCTCACGCGGGTCAATCCGTCACGCTGCTTCGTTTTCCCCAGACGTATTCACAGCTACGCATATCCAGGCGTTCGCGAATACGTATGGATACTGCCGTGAAGATGCATTGAGCAACCCACCTGCTGCAGAAATCTTGGAGAGAATACCGCTACCAGTTGGCGTTGTCTTGACAGCATAGTCTTTTATTGTGGCATGGAGCGAGGTGCGACTCCTTGTCGCGATGGTGCATACACGACACACATCCCCCCCTTCTTCGCC